CACTAATAAAAATTCACAATAAAAAAGCCCTGGACTGGATGGCTTCACAGGTGAATTTTACCAAACAATTCAGAAAAAACTAAGACCTCTTCTTCTCAATCTATTTCAAAAAAATTAAAGAGGAGAGAAGGCTCCCAAACTCATTTTATGAGGCCAGCATTATTCTAATTCCAAAATCAGATAAAGACACTACAAAAAAAAATTATAGGCCAATATCCATGATGAACAAAGGCACTAAGATTCTCAACAACATATTAGCAAACCAAATAGAACAATAAGTCAAAAATGTCAAACACCCTGATCAAGTGGCATTTATTCTTGGAATGCAATGTTGGTGCAACTTTCACAAATCAATAAATGTGATTCACCACAAAAACAAAATGAAAGATAAGAGCTAGATGATCATAGCAATAGATGCAGAAAAAGCATTTGATAAAACAGCACCCATTTATGATAAAAAAAAAACTCTCAGAAAAGTGGGAATAGAGGGCACATACACATAATAAAGTTCATATGTATTAACCCACTCCTAGCATCATACTAAATATGTAAAAGCTACAGGTGTTCACATTAATATCAGGAACAAGACAGGAACATTTGCCTCACATCTCTTATTCAGCGTAGTGCTGGGAGTCTTTGCTATAGCAATCAAACAAGAAAAAATGAAAAAGCATTAACATTGGAAAGGACTAGAACCAATAAATGAATTCAGGAAAGTAGCAGGATACAAAATTAATATCCATAAATTAGTTGCATTTTTATATGCCAATAATGAACTAACAGAAAGGGAAATTAAGAAAAAAAATCTCATTTCACAATTGCTTCAAAGTGGATAAAATATCTAGGAGTAAATTTAACCAAGGATGAAAAAGACCTGTATGTGGAAAATTATAAGAAACTGAAGAAGATACAAATAAGTGGAAGCACATACCATGTTTATGGATAGAAAGAATTCACATCATTAAAATGTCCATACTACCCAAAGCAATCTACAGAATACTATGCAATTCTTACCAAGATAACAATGACATATTTCACAGAACTAGAACAAATATTTCAAAAATTTATATAGGACCACAAAAAGCCCCGCATAGCAACAGCAATCTTGAGAAAGAAGAACATATTTGGCAGAATCACACTACCTAATATAAAACTATACCATAATATCATAGTAATCAAAATAGCATGGTCCTGGCATAGAAACAGACATTTAGAAAAATGAAACAGAATAGAGAGCCCAGAAATAAACCCACACCTTTATAGTCAATTAATATTTGACAGCAGAAGTGAGCACATACAATGAGCTAAAGATAAGTTTATTCAATAAATGGTGTTGTGAAAATCTACAGAAATGTGCAGAAAAATGAAAGTAGGTAAAATGAAAGTAGTACATCACAAGCAAGAATAAATTCAAAATGGATTAAAGACCTAAGTGTTAGACTCAAAACCATAAAAATCCTAGGAGAAAACTTAAGCAGTATATCTCAGATAGTATTCGTAGCAACATTTTTTTCTGATATATCTCTTCAGGCAAGAAAACAAAAGAAAAAATAAACAAATGGGACTACATCAAACTAAAAACTTTTTGCACAGCAAAGGAAACCATCAACAAAATAAAATTACGGTCCACTGAATGGAGAAACACTCACCAATACCTCTGATAAGCTATTAACATCAAAATGTTACACAGAATTTATAAAACTCAACACAAAAAAAACCCCAAATAATCAAATTAAAAATGGCCAAAGATCTGAATGGGCACTTCTCCAAAGAGGACATACAGGTGGCCAAAAGACAGTCGAAAGATACTCATCATCACAAATCATCAGAGAGATGCAAATTAAAACCACACTGAGATATCACCTCACACTTGTCAGGGTGGCTATCCTCAATAAATCAACAAACAAGTGCTGGCGAAGATGTGGAAAACATGGAACCCTTCTGCACTGTTGGTGGGAATGCAGACTGGTGCAGCCACTGTGGAAAACAGTCTGGAATTTCCTCAGAAAATTAAAAATGGAGCTGCCTTTTGACCCAGCAATTCCACTGCTGGGAATTTATCTGAAGAAACCCAAAACACTAATTTGAAAGAATATAAGCACCCCTATGTTGATTGCAGTGTTGTTTACAATTGCCAAGACTTGGAAGAGCCCAAGTGTCCGTCAGTAGATAAGTATATAAATCAACTACAGGACATTTACACAATGAAACAATACTTTGTCTTAAAGAGAAGGAAATTTTACCCTTTGTGACAGCATCACTGAAATTCAGAAATCTAATTTTTTTCTATTTCTCCTCAATATATCTTTTCTTTTTTGCAATAGAAAATGTAATGAGTAAGGAAAGCAAAGTTTACTTTGAACATTTGTGATCAAGCCAATTTGGTACTGAATTATAAATAGATCAGTTCTTCAGAGTAGAACACTATTCACAGGTCAATGAATATAAGGAAATGCACGTGAAAGGGCATTTCAATTCATTAAAAAAAAGTGTTGGCGTAATTCTTGTAACTACTATTTTACATCTTATACAAAGAGGTGAATCCTGTGTGAATTACAGATTTAAATATTAAAAAGAAGCTAATATGAATTTTTTAAATCTTTAGATAAAAATATCTTTGTAAAATTTATATAAAACCTAGAAACCATAAAGGAAATTTTTGACAGACTTAAATTTCATAAAATTTTTAAACTTCTTTGGGTTAAAATATACCATTACAAGCCTATAAATGACAACAAATAAGACAAGAATATTAACAAATATATGCAAAATATAACCTATGCAATATATTATCCTACCTATTATTGTTTAGCATGGCTTAAAAAAATGACCAACATAACAACAACACTGGTAAGGCATATTCCAGGCATTTGTAGAAGAAAAACAAATAATTAATAACCAATGAAAAATGCTCAAATATGCTGAAATTATAGTACTGCAAATTAAAACAGGAATGAAGCAAAACTTTTATAGTTATTGGAAAAATGTCTAGTGCACAGTGTACTGATTTCAAGTAAAAAGTAGCATGTAAATAGTTTTATTTAGATTTATAATACAAGTGTAATTGTGCTACAGCTTCTGAAGGCTGCCCTCAGGTTTTGGCTCACTGTCCCCTGGCTTCCTCTTTAAAGACAGCCACATCACAGCTCCCCGATCATTCTTCCATAGGCACACACTCCTCTGCACAGCACCAAAGGTTGTCTGATTTTTAAGGAAATAGCTAATTTGATTAGTGCCACCCAGAGTATCCAAGGTAATCTCCACATCTCAAGACCAATAACTTAATCACATTTCAGAGTCTCCTTCTTCATGTAAAGAAACAGATGACAGGTTCCAGGAAACACACATGGACAGCTCTGTTTCTGTTGGTATAAAAATTCTCAAGAACCCTATAGGGCTCCCACGTGTGTCATGGGGATTGGCTCCCTTAGACAAAAGGATCCTCCACAGATATTCCCTACATAATCACATACCTATTTTTGGCTTCTGCTGGGATGGCTGAGGGCACCTGTGAGCCACATATGTAATCTCATCAAAACCTTTCTGTGACGGAATACTCTGACTTTTTGCTACTTCTGAGGCTCTGGCAAAAAGTTGTACAGAAACCCTCTTAGTCATTCCACAGAGCACTCTTGCCTGACAGTGACTCTTGTAATTTTAGGATCTTTCATAACCTGAATAGGCTTAGAATTTTCCAAATTACCACGTCCTGTTTCCTTTTGCCTTACAGGTTTACCCTCAGTTTATCTCGTTCCTCTCACATTTTACTGTAAGCAGCAAAAAGACACCAGCTGCATCTTCATCACCTAGAAATCTCCTTAGTGTATATCCAGAAAGTTCTGCTTTCAGCATATCTGCAGAAAAAGATTTGGCTATAATTTTTGTCACTATTTAATAAGAACCTTCTTCCTCCAGTTTTCTTTTTTTAAAAAGAAATTGTTTATTTATTTTTAGACAGAGAGGAAGGAAGAGAGGAAGACAGGAAGAAAAACATCAATGTGTGGTTGCTGCATGCACACCTGCTACTAGGGACTGGGCCAGCAACCCAGACATGTGCCCTGACTGGGAATCAAATCGGCAACCGGTGCGCAATCCACTGAGGCACACCAGCCAGGGTAAGTGTTCTAAAACATGTTATTTCCTCGTGAGGCCTTACCAGTCATGCCAATAGCCTCCATATTTGTGCTGTTCTGGGTAATTTATATTTTCTCTCAGACAACATAGGCTTTCTTTCCCATGTTTATCCCTCTTTCCGAGTCCTCTCTAGGTCTTCAGTATCCACATTTCTGCAAAAAACTCCACCTAGACTTTTTTTAATCTTTCAACTTAAAATTCTCCCAGCCCCTGCTCCTTGTCCATAAGCTATTGACACATTTTTAGGAATGTTTTATAGCCATAAGCCACTTTTAAGAACCAGAGTCTGTATTATTTCCATGTTGCTGCCATTAACAATTAATACAAATAGTGGACTAAACAGCACAATTCATCATCTTACAATAATGTCAGGTAGAATTCTGTCACTGCCTCACTGGGCTAAAATCAAGTTTTTAGCAGACCTTCACTCCTTTCTGGAGGCTGTCGGGGACAATCTGCTTCCTTAATTGTTCCTGCTCCTTAAGGTCACACGCATCCCCTAGTCCTTCCTCCATATTCTAACCCAGCGCTGCTGCCTCTCTCTGGCCATTCCGCTACACTCACTGCTTCCTCTCTCCACCACCAAGAAAGAGTCTCCACTTTTTAAGGCCTATAGGAGTATATTGGGGCCACCCAGGTAACCCAGGATAATCTTCCCCATGTCAAGGCCCCTGGTTTAATTACATCTTTAATGCCCACTCGCCATGTGAGGTAACAGATTACAGGTTCCAGGGATGGGACATAGACATCTTTGAGGAGGCTTTGTTCTACCTACTGCAATGTTGTAAATAATAATGATGATGAAACTCTGGTATTTAAGACTCATTTCTCACATTAAAAGCAAGTAAAATCTTATTCACTCTTACTTCTTTGTCTCTTGGCTTTTTGTAAGTTAAGAGTTTTTCCAATATCCTCAGGACCTAGAAAATAAAAACAGGTGGTGAGAAAACAGGAATGAATAAATAGAAGTTATAAATATTAGGATGATTAATACTGCATGAGATTTGAATTTATCAGGGTGTTTGGTTTATGTTTCTTTCTTCAAAAGGAACTGAAAACCTATTAAATTGAGAAATATGACTCCAAATTGACCCTGGGTCTTCCTTCATTATTCAACAGCACTTTAAAAAAGACTCTGAAATCCCATTGTACTCAGCAGTAAGAACAGGTATCATATCCTATTTAAATCTTAATATTTTTGTGAGGAAATTTGTGGAAAAGTTCATACAAAATCACTGCACATACCTTCGACACGTTGAAAAATGGCCATCCATCAAAAATATATGCTGGGGATGGGGTATTCAAGATGGCTGCAGAGTAGGTGGAAGCTACACTCAACTGCTCCTGGCTAAAACTGAATTTACAGCTAAATTATAGAGAAATTAATGAGAATAACCAACTAAAGTCTAGCTGAACTGAAGTATTATAACCAAAGATTTACAGAGGAAGACACATAGAGACTGGTAAGGAGCTCAGAGGTGTGGAAAGAACTAGCCTCACGGCCAAGTGCAGTGGCAGCTGGAGATACATTGTGGCTACTAAACTCTCTCCCCAGGAGTATGAGATGCAAGACGCTATTTGCAAAGGTCCTTTGAAAGTCACTATACTCCTTTGAAAGTCACTATACTCCTATGTCATGACTTGCTGAAGAGCTCTGTCAAAAAAACACTTTGGGTTTTAATATACTTTATCCATTTCTGCTAACACTAGATGAGTGAGTTGTCTTTTTGCACTATTCAAAGTTTGCAATCAAATAATAATATGACCTTCCAATAAAGACATACTTGTTTTTCTCTTCTATTGAAAAATAATTGCATAAATCCAACACTTTATAGTCATATCAGTTAAGTTTTTAAAAAGCTTATTCCTTTGCTAGCCTATCTACTATATAATCAATATATGGGTGCACAGATTAATAGGACCTATCAATAAATAGCCTTATCTTCAAAAATATAAATAAAATTATTTCTTATTGAATTCCACATCCCAGAGTGGTCAAGTAAGAGGCAGAGAATGGGATCCAGGATGAACTGGACCCACGGAGCAGCATGAACTCAGAACAGATGCCTCCGGAAACACTATCTCTCAGTACAGATCCCTGCAGCCCACGCCTTGAGCTCGCAGCTCCTTACCGGGCTTCCTTTTCTCTGCTGACATGGAGGCTTCAGGGAGCTCTTCTCTATTTCTACATTCTGCAGAGTCCTCATCACTAATCACTGCACAGAAGACAAAAACCCCTTAGAGTTTCAGGGAGGGACGACAGAAACCATGGGGAGGAAAGCCCACGACAAGAGCACTAAGACTGAGAAGCTAAGTTAATTCAGGTCCCCCCGGTCTGTGCCCTAAGGTGTGTGACCGGCAGGTTCCTCCAGGTCCTGCACGGAAGGGGGAGAGGTTCAGGCACAGAGGGCAGCTGTGCCCGTCCTGCAGCCCTTCTTACCCCACGGTCGCCCTGTCTCCCGCCTCCACCCTCACTCTACCTCCCCTCCCCTCCCCCACTCTACCTCTTCTTTCACTCTCATTTTAATTCTTCACTTTCTCATTGGTTCAAACCATTTCATTAATTATGCCTGGGGGTGGCATATCTTTATAACTCTCCTTGTCTTCACGTGTTCCTTTTTCTCTCCTCTAATGAATATCTTGGGTTTTTTTTTTTTTATTTTCTCCCTTTTCTTTTCACTCCTACAACGGTCACTTTCCTCTCTTGCACAGAAATAGCCTGACATCATGCTTAAGGCAACCATTTCTGTTTTAGATATTTTTCCAGTTACTGGGGACATTTTTCTGCTGAGCTCGCTGCATAAGGCGCTGGTCCCCTCCCCTTCCTACCTGTAATTCAGGCCACCAGGGCTGCCTCATGGCCCTGTGACGCGTCCCAGACCCTTGCCCAGGACCGTGATTCACATCACACGCTCTTTCAGTCGGCCTTACCAACTATCTCAAATGCTTGGTTACACTCAGTCCTTCCTTGGGCTTCCCATTTGGTTCCTAAATTAAAAAAAAGGCGTTTCCTTATTTATGTTCACTGAGTCTATAGGGTCAGAACTCACTGGGATTCCATGGTTGCAAAAATAAAGAATTTCCTTTGTCTCTTCAGAGACAGTGAGCACCTTCTGTGAGCACCTTCACTGCAAGGAAGTCCTTCTCCCTGTGATTCTACTGCAGGGAAAGCTCCCTACCCTCTCCTTTCCTGCTTCTCAGCCCTGCCCTTCTTTTGTGCCTCTCTTAACTCTGGGGTTTTTGTTTTTATTTTTATTTCCACTGTTCAAATTAGCACCCAGTTTTTATCTGAGAGGGCCCCTGGGCCATTTTCATCACTGTGGACACCTTGCCTTCTCAGTGGTGTGAGAAGCAGGCCCCTGTGCCTTCTATTGACCTCCAGTCACACAGTGCTTGGTCCTCTCTCTGTCTACCTGGTCCACACTCCATCAGGTTTTGACTCATTGTCCGTTATTCATTCTCGACATGGTTCTCTTGGTGCCTCCCCATTTTTTCTACCTATTGATGTTCATTTCCTTTTGTATCTTTTTCTACTCATCCTTCTCTCTCTACATTGATTTTATCGTTGTGCCCCTGGGCCCAGCAGGGGCCAGGGTGAAGCCAAGTAGTTGTCTACAGCTCAGGGGGTGCTGGGAGTGAGATGCCCTTCACACGAGCTTTTGGGTTCCCGCTTCACCCTAGGCCTGGCCCTGCTGTGCGTTTGTAAACTTGCAGTTTATCCATTCTCTACAATGTTTCCTACTTTCTCTTATTGTATTTCTTAATTGTTTTTGTGACCCATGAATGCCTCTTCTATATCAATTTTGTCTTTATGTTTTCTCCATGTTAAGCATTCCCATCATTACCGAAGTTCAACTCTTGTGAATCTACCTGCCACACTGAGTCCCTCCACCTGCCTGTCCCCCTCCACACTCATCAAACCCAGCATCTCTGTCTTACCTGCTGGATCAAGCTCTTGGGCAGGTTGTTCATTTGCTGGCTGGCTTTCTAGTGCATCATTGTTGCCAGTGGTTGTACCTATTTCCATTGCATTTATCTCTTCTGTTTCAGAGAGTTGCCTTGAGAGTCCATTATCAGATGTAGCTGTACCTAGACCATGTGTTGATGCATACGTATTTTATTTACTCCCTGCATCAATCAGGGTACAAGAGGAAAATGCAATACAAACTTCTCTAAGCTTTTAGTGCAGAGGGAATTTAATCCAGATGATGAGTTACACAGCTGATGGAAGAGCTGAGAAGCTAAATGGAAGAATATGGCAGCTCGCAAAATAGTCAAGAGTAAGGTATGCAAAATAGTCAAGAGGAAGGGACTAAGGGTGGGGCCTTGTGCCGAGGTCATGTCCCAAGGCCACTGGGTAGGGGGAAGCTGGACTATGGCTGGCTTGCTTGGTGGGAAGCGGTGTCATGGGGGAGATGCAGCTACTGCTAGAGTTGAGGCCCGAGAAAGTGACAGCAAGATTTCCCAGCTTCTCACTTGCTCCCACTCTCCAGTCTCTTCCCAGTCTGCCGGGTTAGGGACTCAGCAGGGCACAGTACAGGGAGCTGGCAAGCGAGCCTGCAGAGGTCTGTGGCCAGAGGTGGAGGGCAGAGCAGAGCAGGAAAGGATAAGGAATGAATCTCTGAGTAAACCACCCAGGACCTGTGCACCCCCTGCCCCACGTGAACCTTCTCTGCTCATTCTCAATATTGTCCACCCATCCCACCCTGCTCCCACCAACCCCAACAGTGCATGAATGGGTACCCATTCCTTTTATTGCAGCTTGACTTTTTTCATTTAGTGCTCTTTTTCTAAGCAAAGCAATTTATGTAAAGTATGATTCACAAAATTAATCGCCACAATTTTAACAGAGAACCTGGGCCCTGGTGCACTCCTGTGCAATATCCACAGCTCCTTGGAGCCCCCCTCTTGGAGGGAGGGGCAGGAGACACAGACTTGTCTGCTCCTGTGCTGCTGGCTCAGACTCCTGGATACATGTATTGGTGGTTTGTTTAAAATATTTGGGTTATAGTATCACTGTAACATACACTGATGGACACACAGACACACACACGGTTAATCCCGTCTGTGTGTGTGTTACTCATCACTGTTCCTTCCCGTCACCCCTCCCGTTCCCACCAGCTCATGGGTAGATGAAGTGCTAAGAACATGGATAGGTGCATGTTGGATGTTTTATATCCTTAACTATTAACTTTTTGAGTAAACATGATTTGCAAAAAGTATCATGGTGTTCCCAAAAATCATTGCGAAAGGTTGTTGTTAAAAATAAAAAAGTATTACTAATATAGAACATCCTTTCTCCAATAACACATCCCCGTGGCGGCTACATCATGACGCCTTCCGTGAAGTTGTGGAGCAGCCCCAGGCCTGCTGCCCGCAGACGATGGGAGAGGGTTTGCGCGGGAGGCACACGGTGTCCACGGTCCTGTGTGAGGGACCCCCCAGGTGAGAGGCCCTGGCCCAGGGGGAGCACTCACCGCCCCTCCCCCACTCCCCTGTGCAGTGCTGGCCGCCGCTGGATGTGACCTGAGAGCAAGGCTGCAGCCAGAGTCAGGCGAGGCAGAGGCAGAGGACTGTGAAGCCAGGTGCATGGGCAATAGGTCCAGGCCCAGGGTGGCAGGAGCTGGCAGTAAGTGCATTTAAGGAGAACGGAAGGAGCGGCCCTCCCAGCAACCAGGAAAATGAAGGCTCTGCTGTCTAAATCTTTGGAGAAGCTGCAGGTGCAAAGAATGACTATTCTGGACAATCAGCACTAAAAGGAATCAGTCCTCAGCGCCCCCCACCCCCAACAGCACATGCCAGAATAAGACCAGAACAGCACGTGATCATAAAACAGTTACTAGGAACACACCATTGTGATTCAAAGGATATGGTCTGCTCCAGAGCAGGCTTGGGTATGAGTTCTCACCAGCTCCTGGGGGCAGAAATTAGAAACTTATTTCAGAAACTGAAGTATGGGCTGCTCTGTTCTCCCCTAGTGCCATGTGAACCTTTACAAGGCAGGACATGATGATCCCCTCCCGCAGAAAACAGCACAGCCCACCTGGACCTAGGGGGTCCACGGACTCGTGTGAGCTGCGCCGCCGGCCTCAGTCGGGCCATCTCACTGGGAGTGTTCACACTCCACTCAGTGACTGCAGATGGCTTTTCATGTCACCTAAGGCCACAATGAACCTTTTTTTTGAGAGCTGCTTTTGACTGGTGACCTTACCTCACTTCTGACAAAGTCTTGTTGTCTCATCCCCACTTCCTTTCACACCACATCCTGCCTCTGCTGGTCTGTTTTTCTGCCTTATTGAACTTTGCACGAGGTTCAGGGTCTGATTCTTCTGCACTTCCTCCAGCTCCTGGTAGGCTTCTTTCTGTTTGCCTCAGTCGGCATGTATTTCCCTATTCTTTTTCTCAGGTTTCTGTCTTTTTCATGAGGCTATCTGGTGTGCACAGAGTTAGGGACACAGGCTCTGGGTTCAGAATGCCTGGGTTCATCTTGCATATTTGATCCCAAGCCAACTGCATGCATGGTCTCCCTAGATTTCTGTCTCCTTCTCTGCAGATGGACAGATAGTGATACCAGCCACCAAGGGCAGCTGCACACACTAAGCCCACAACTGCATGAGTAAATGTTCAATAAGTGAGCTCTTAATACTCTGGTCCTTTTATTGTGTCCTGTACTTCTTTCTCCTGTCTTTCATTTCCCTTCCTCCTCTCTCAAAGTACAACCATCCCCTCCTCCACATCTTACCACTTCCCCCTCTTCTCTCCCTGTGGCTGCCATCTCCCTGAATATTCCTGCTTTTAAACAACATCCCCCACATTTAAATCAGTCCTGCCTTCTGTCTTCATCAAGGATCTCCTATGTGATGTTGAGTCTGCCCACATTTCCGAGCACTTCACAGCTTCACACGGATCTTCTCCTACTCAGTCTTTCTAAATCAGTTACTCGCAGCTCAGCATTCTCATCAAATCTGCTTTCCTGACAATCTGAGTGTCTGTCCCCTTGTCTTGGTTAATGGACCCATGATCTCTTGCCACGGCTACTTCTCCAGGATTAACCTCTGGTCCGATGCTCATGCATACACCCCTCCCTGTACCTCAGAAGTTCTCCCCTGCTTCCCAAACTTTACTCAGGCCTCAGGGACCGACGCCCTTTCTCCTTTCCTCCTAGCAGATGAGAGTCAGCTTTTATCTGGTTGCAATCACCTTGTTCAATGCTTAGTTGGATACCAGATCTCTCCCGGTTTTCTTCTGGTCCATTTTCTAGGAAATAGTTTATGTTTGGTATCTCTGAAGAGAGGGCAAGAGAAGACGACAATTAGAGGTGCCCATCCAGAATAGTGACGTCACCTCAAATTACAAGCTTAATGATTTCCACATGTGTTGTGGAGAATGCGTTAATAAAACCTTTTCTCCTTCTTTGAAAGCAAGTTTGACTAGGGGTTAACTTTCTTGCTCATTACTCTGGAAACCTGGTGAAGGTGGTTTCTCTTCTGTGTTTCTAGGCAACACTGAGCTTAGAGTTATAAACAGTGACAGTAGGTAGGTAAATTACAGTAGATATGAACTATAAGCCATTTTTAGTCTTCCTCCAATGTACTGACTCTTATAACTTGGCTGTTCCTCATGGGAGTCTCTGAAAGTTATGCCTACAGAGTTGTAACATGAGACACTGGCTCCCTTGGGCACGGTGTGGCTGGGACATGGTGGATCTTGCACCCACAGCTAAGCTGTCATTCGAGGCAGGTAGTAGACCACTCAGTGAGCTGCTGGGTGGGCCCCTGCTGGGGGTCCCACAGAGAAACAGCAACTGATGCCGCCCTTTAGGGATGTTATGTTTCTTGTCATTTGTCATTCTAAGTACATTTGATGCCACTGTGGCTTTGTTTTGTCCTGTGAGTCTAACTGCCAAGTTAAGTAGACCTCTCGGTGGGTGTTGTACTGTATCCATTCTATCATAAGCTTTGAGAAGTGAATAATAGGTCTGTTTTCTTAAGCGCTGTAGCCCCACTGCTCAGCACTGTATGTGACACATGGTAGAAGCTCAGTATTTACCTGTGGGAAAACATTGGTCCTGGATATCAAAAAGTCGGTAACAAACCTAATTACCATTTCTGAAGATTCTGTAAATGTGTTTTAAATCAGGATACTTCTCCATGATGACCTTGCTGAACAAAGCATCCAGAAGGGGCAGGTCAAAGGTCTCCTCCAATTCACTCAGAAGATCATATAAGATTTCGTCTATAGAACGCCGTGTTTTGCAACATTCTTGAGACGCCTTAAAACATAATGAATGGGAAAATATAAACGAGGAAGAGCCTTAGAAAGTGATTTTATTGTTAATGTATTACAATTTCCCTAGATAGTATCTTCTGATGTAAAATTTTAGAATTTGTCCATATTTGTATGACTACTAAGTGGAACAACTAAACCCTTGCTTCTTGAATATACCCATTTGATCTTCTTATTCTTGTTTACAGTAGGTGGAAGGAGCAATTTTGAAGAACAAAATTGGGTTCACGTTAAGTGATGTGTAGCCCTTCCAGAGCCTGGTCGAATGTTTTAAGAACAGATTTAGCAGGTGGTGAGCTACTTTTCTAGGGACTGGACAACCCTTGTCCCTTGCCCAGGACGACTTGGCCTGGAAGGGCCCAGGGAAGCCACCAGGTGGTGATTTCCCTTCCTGTGGACTTTGCCATAAAGTAAGCCTAGTCATAGAGAAAGAGAAGCCTTGCATCTCTGCATCTCCACCTACATCTCTTCCAAAATTAACCTAAATTCCAATACTCCGGAAATCCCAGCAGAAAAGAAAAAGATAGGAAAGGGAACTGAACATTTTGGAGAAAAAATAGCAAGCATTTACTTCCAAATTTGTCCTAACAAGACATTAAATCTCTGTGAATTCTAATGCTCTCACATCTAAATACTCGAATTGATATTCATTGAAATGGAATGTTGTGTCAATTATTATTTCATTAAATGAAATCATAAAGCTTATTCATCCATTCATTAAAATTACTTTGTTTTCTAATA